ATGTTTAATGGTTGAATTGGCAAAAGGTTGGTATTAAACGTAACAGAAAAGAATAAATAAAATGTAAGCAAACTAGCGAAGACGATAGATGCACAACAATCCGTTAATGTATTTATATAATAATAACATAAACAGTTAGTGGTGGTCGAACGGACAGAAGAGGGTTTATATCCATCCATCTATCCGATCCAGCTGCATCCCCTCATCCTATTCATTGCTAGCATCAATTCATATCCCTCTTCCACTAGCTATAAGGTTGAGTCTGAGTCCTAGTTGTGCATAATAATGGTGATGTTCTGTTATTTGTTGATTTCGGTTGCCATTGCGAGCAGCCATAGCAGGCATCTAATGTACATGTGCTAGCAGCGAGCGATTCGTATTGTTGACGATATTGGACATTGGACGTTAACCGAATAAATAAACTAACATAACAATAACACTCTTATCTCTAATCTCAACACTTCACTTCTCTTTATTTAATTTCATCCATTCATTACTCTATTTGTTTATCCATTTTTACAATCGCTTCGTTTGTTTATTTGTTTGTTTAGTTATTTGATTTGTTATCAAATCAAAAGGTGTAATTTGCCGGGTATGGCTAGCACTCTCGACCTTTTGTTCTTCGCTCGAATACATATCGACTCTCCGTTAAATGTGTTGTTCAGTCATTAATTTGCTGAATTTTTCGTCATATTTCTTAGTTCTTTTGATTGGTTGAATCAAAAAAGTTCATCTAGCGAATGCAATGCTGTTGATCCAAAAAATTTATTATTCGAAAGAGGGATGTGCTAGAGATACTAACTGAGATACAATGTTCTTCGTCTTATTATGTTTCTCCTCCTGTCCACTATTTTCAGTTGATGATACGATTAATATGCGCGGATAAATGAACATTTATCATCGAATAAACAAATTTTTATTAATTCACTCGTAACTTGTTGGTCAGTCGTTATTCTGTTAAACACTAAGAAATCCTGAATTAACAGTGATTGTCACCTTTCCCTCTTTTATTTGATGCTCCAACGAATAAAAGTTCGTTCCAGAGACTCATTCAGATGCTAATTACATAAATTCGCGTTTTCGTTGTTGTATCTTATACTGATAGATTTGCATATTTATTTCTGTATTCAGACACTTATTGAGTATTACAAATCAATCTTCTAAATTTAGTTGTCCGAAATTTTTTGTAAACGCTTGAAAATTTAATTCGGATCTGTTGAGATTTCCGATAGCATTCGATATTTGCATATAGCTATTGTCATTGTAACGAGAGATCATGCTGCTGACATTATAATGGGAATAAATTTCAAGGCGGTCTCAGCACCAGGCAAAAGCATCACGAGAGAGAAGCGTGACGGTCTCGCATTGGGTTTAACTTCAACAATTAATATGAAAAAATCTGATGATCTGAATGAATTCAATGAAGATGAGGGTAATGGTTAATTATTGTACTTGTGACAAACCTATTTCATATGATACTCTCACAGTTATTCATCTCACCCGTCATTCTTATGGACGTATTATTTTATGGATTTTCTTCAACAGTTGTCCATTAACGTTTGTAAAATGTTCCAAAGAATTGACACCTTCGATACTACCGACAAATTCTTTAAAATAGATTTACTGATCAGTGATTAAATTTTACGATTTTATTCTGATTAGTTGCTGAGAAATAAAAGATTGTCAGAGAAGGAGATGGGGGGGGGGGGGGGGAATAGGCGAGGGTTTGTTGTTATGTAGATTGTTGGGAGGGGGATGACGGCCTATCAAAAAATCAAACAGGGACCGAGAGTGCAAGAACGTGAGTACAACTGTTCTGTTTGATCAGTTGTTTGCTGTGCTTCTTTATTACAATTTTTTCGACGTTGTAATTACATTTCCTACCGTTTTTTTAAGCAGTTTGCCTAAACAGACAAATGAAAATCACGTGAAATTGTAGAGTTAGAAGGCCTTTTCTCTTTGGATGAAGAACAGCCCATGGTTGTTGCGGGTAAAATGCCAAAACGCTATAACTGTGATTACGAGAGCGATGCAGAGAATGAGTCAAATGGTAAGTAACTGAATGCCTGATTGTTGAATGCTCTTGCAGACTATTTTAATGTATCTGAGAGTTGCATCCGCATTCGTGTCTTCATTTGATGAAACCTTCAGACAGTATAAGTACTGGTTGTCTTTGAAAATCGTATGTGGAATGGTGAACATTCGATTGTTTGATCAAGTAATATTTTTAAGTAAAATGTGTTGAAAGTAGCAACATAAGTCGTTGTTTGTTAAAATCAATTGTCTGTAGAGCATCGATCTGATGGGATAAGTGCCAACGAACAAGCGGAAGATGTAATTAGGGGTGGCATTATGCAAGCGGGTGCATTAGCATATGGCACATCACTTCCAGTCACCATTCCGGCCGGCAGGTTCTGGCCACCGAAGGATGCAGTTGACAGTATCAAAGAGGACGGTCTCTTGAGCTCTGATGATGAAAACACTGAAGGCCGAGTCAAAACAGTTCGTTACTGTCATTTTTTATTTAAAAGTGCCGAAGGCTTTGTACTTAGTTTCTTGCTTGATAACGCAGACTTTTCGTTGAGCTGTATGATTTGTTTGCTGTCGATACTTCGTTTCGTTTCTTCGTTATTGGCAACCAGAAACGAAGCGACTTTCTCCTCAAATGAGGTTTTGACTTGATTAAAACTGAAGCTCAAAAAATAATTCAATAACACATGAATAGAGTTTTGACAATTGCGAGGGAAGAGTGAGGAGAAAGTGGATGAATTTCAGTTATTACCGCAACGTATCCACAAAGATCTCTATCGTGAAATACAAGCACAAGCGCGTTCCATCCAGGCTGCTGATGATCCAGAACGTATATTCGGTGAACGACCTCAACGTCGACGATATCAAACGGGTGAATCAAGTCCTGTAACACCACGTGCGTTAGCTCCCCATGCACCACATGAGAACGCAGTTGTGATTGTAGCGGCGAGTGTTAGTTCGCATACCTAAGCTGTACGTACCTCTTTAACCTATGTAGCTGTTGTGGGCTCTTTTATCTGCTGTTGCAATCCCAGAACTGTTTTTAAAAAACTCATTATCAGCTTGTTCATTTTACTTTCGATTTGACCACCCATAAATCATCTTTCATTATCATTATAACCATATGCGTCGTCTGTGAACGTAAACCTCATCTCATTGCCTTACGGCTTCTTAAATCAATGTTGAATATGATTGAATGATTTAGTTGGATGATAACAGTTGTTATAAGATAGTAGTATTTGTTATAAATAAGTGTTCAGGTAGAGTTTAGTAGTATCGTTCTCTTATTAGTATTCAGTAAGCGAAAATGGACTTCACCTCTATTATCTGGAACTCAGATTAGCGATCAGTCGGTAAGATGTCTGTTTGCATGTTATGTTTGCCTTATATCATCTGCAAGTATGGTGCTGATTTGCTGGTCGAAAGGAACATTTCTTAATTCGTTGGATTGAGTCCACTCATTGGATCTGTTATAACTGCTTTGAATGCTCTCCCATCTATACCCATTTGTGTTTTTGTATACCTGTGTGTGTGTCTGTGTATTTGTCATTCTAATCGAACCAGCATCAGCTCCTTAGTAAATCGTTCAGATGCCCTATCGGTCGCGAATTCACTTCTCACTACCACTATTAATATAGGTATTCCCGAATTCGGGACACGTTAATAGAATTTTGGTTCTAACAGGTATTATATTTGCAACATTTTTTTCAATGGAGCAACGACTGGGATTGTCATATTCTAGATCTACGTAAATACAAGCCGTGTTACAGATAGTTAGGATAATTTGATCGTCTTCTGTTATGTTGCTGAGAAGTTGAGTTCTGCCTCAAAGTTCAACGCACTTTTATCGCCACGTTTTTTAATATTCGTTTATTTGTTCATTGCTGTTGTCGTTATTGCGCTGTGCGCATCAGTTGGGTTTTTAAATGAAGCGTCTTCTCTTCTTTCAATAAACGATAAACACAAAACGAGAATGTGTGTACGTACTGCTGAATTGATCAAATAAATTGCTGGCCAATAACCCATATAATGAACGTTCTTCATTCAATCGAGGTGGAGCATGTACATCCACCTAACATCCAATGCTATTGTACGTAATTAATGTCTAAAAATTATAGTGAAAACTCAAACCATCGAACAAAAATATTCAAACTCCTCCATGTTTGGGTAATTGCATACTTCAACAGGTGCGGAATTTCGAGTATTTGTTAAGATCATGAGTGGCTATAGAGTTTCTGCTAATGTTTGTATGAATGTCTTCAGAGTTGTTGGTTATTATCTTGCTAGGAGTTAATAATTATTACCTCGGAATAAGTTGATTTTTTCGCTAATTAATACCTAAGCGGATTAACGGGAGCTGTCACTTACGACTTCTCGCTCGCATCACACTCTGCATCCTAAGAAATTGTGGTGCCGTAATGCGAATGGTATCTGAAATGTTTTGTGCAGAGAGGCGGGCCCTAAGTAGCTGTAATAATAACTAAAGGCTTCCGCTAAGCTCATTGCACTTCATCAAAAAGATAGACAACGAACGATAGTTCACTTGAACGTAATGGTTATAACTTATGCATATTCGACGATGTTTTCTAAAATTGGACAGGTACTGCATTTCTGTATATCATGTATACAGTCTTTGTAGCATTCGTGATAATGAATTATGTCAAAAAAAGTGGATAATCCTATTACATCCAAGAACACTGAATGTTAAAGAGAAATTGTGCAACAAACTAAAATAGGATAAGAATGAAAAAGAAGGGATCACATGGCGCGACAAAGATTCTTTCCAAAGTTTTACGACGCAGATTTTGAGGATTCGAAAGTTTGCAGGTTTTGAAAAGAAATTTGAGGTTAAAAGATTGACGACAGCGAATGTTAGACTAATCGTAGCAGACCAAGTTATTAACGAGAACTCTCGTTAATCTAAGCGTCTTATTTTGCGGAGAAAGCTTCGTTAATTTCAAATTAGCGGGGTCAGTAACTTCTTAGGATTGGAATTTTTTCGATGGATTAACCGTTCAATAAAGCCAACTTTTTCTTGGAAGTTATCCAGCGTAAGTGTACGTATGATCAGTGGAAGATGCAACACTTTCATATCTCGACTTTGGAAGTGGACATATCCATGGGTGCAAGTGATTACTTTTTAATTAGTTGCATTAGCTGTCACAATCACTTACATAAGAACATGCTTCTCAACTGTTGACATATTTCATAGAGTTACACGAGCACTGCTCTGTCCATTTCGCTCCTAGCTCCTTACAATCAGTCATGACGTTTTCGAGGCACTCTCTGCACAAATCATATAATAAGTGAACTATTGATTGCCTACCATTAGTATTTAATTTAATCCGCTTCTACTGATTTCTGTCAAAATACCCATTTCGTTCATATGTTTAACTGACGTGTGAACGGTTTTCCGAGAAATTTGAAATTTTCAATGAGAATAGTGATGAGTAGCTATAAGGAACGGGGAATTTTAGCGACCCACTCCCCGACGTTTTTCAACGCGACTACATATTCGATGTCCAGACTTTCTCGAAATTCTCGGCGACCCGCGTTTTCCGACAGTTGATAAAATCAAACCGAAGGATCGAAATTTTTTCAACGGATTAACATTTTTGATAAACGCTAATTTGAAGTGATTTCAGCGACGCATTCGCACATTTCATGTGGTTCTAGAACTGCCCCTAAACAACTAATACCTACGACAATTTGCCTCAAACTAATCTTTATAGAGAATCCCTCCTCAGGGTTAGCCACACCGCTACCTGAAGTTCAGCCGCAGCCTCGAGGTGAACTTCAGCTTAAGCTTAAGCATTAACCTCAGCCCAAACCTGATCATCAACCTCATCCTAAGCATCAACTACAATTTCAACCTAAGCATCACCCTCAACCTCAGTTTAAGTCTTAAAATGAACCTCAGTCTTAGCGTAAGCATGAGCCCAAGAATGACAATATAAATGATAACGATATAAAATTAAAATAATGGCAATAATAATGATTATGACAATGATAGTAATGATCGAAAGAAATTGCGTTTGTAAAGATGAATATCGTGGACACGAGTTGTCGAGGGCAGTTGTCCGCGTACCGTTTTTACATGGCCTTATCAGCAAAGTTTACGAGTTTTTAAGTTTGGTTCTTTAGATTGCTATGGTTGTGTTACATAATAGTACTGTTGCATGCTGCGATTGCAAGGATGTCAGCTGTGTCAAACAGATTGTTTGGGTAAATAACGAAAAGATTTGGTCAGCCGGAATATGGTGTGAAAATATTTCGTTTTAGAAGAGGAAACTGAAAGCGGTGTGAAGTGTTTGCTCGATTTGTGGAAAAGAGCTCAGGATGAATCAGTCACCAAAAAAGGGCCTTCCCAACCACTTACATATGGTCCATGTTGACGGGACGAATGTGCCGAAGAACAAAATGAAAACAACGCGTAATGACAGTTCGGAAATCGACGATTTTTATTATCATAGGAACTAAATGTTTATGGTTCCCTCAGTATCACTGTGACTAAGCTACTTCTGTAAATTGCTGAAGTTTTAATAATAAACTTAGACGGTTTCTACAACTTAGAGTGGAAGAATCTACATAACCGTCATTCTGGAGTATTATTTTTTCTCGCCAGAGATTATGGGGTGTTTATTTTTTGGTGCGATTCAAAAATTTTTACCGTTAAAACCTCATTATGGCTTGCTATTTGTTTCTATTCTGTTCTACTGATTGCTTCATTTTGATGCCTTTCCAAAACATTCCTGTTTTCATGATTTTACTGACCCCAGTTCAAACGTCACATTTTCGGGGAAAATTCGGAGACCGGGGACGAGATTGAGCTTTTCCTCGAAGTTCTCCATTCCAGCCTCTTTCATCGCGACCGCATTTTCGGGGTCCCGACTGCAAATTTCGCCCCAATTTTTTCCTTCCTCACCAGTGATTTAACATGAACTTGCAAAAAACAATTGCAATACGGTACTTCAAAAAAATTCATTAAAAATAACACGAATTTAAAACAATATGAATGAACAAATTATCCGCGAGAAATGAGAACATTGAAAAAACATTAAAAAACGAGACTGGATAGAATCAGAATTAAACAGCATGGCCAACTATTTGTTGAGAAAGAGAAAATTCATTAAAATTGACAATAAAATCAATTCGTTATTGCACTTGGACAATGGAATGGTTCAGCATCGGGAAAAGATGAGCTCTAGGGTTCAATGATTCAAAATTCAACAAACTTTCAAAACTGATCGACCAATCAATATGGACAAAAATTAGGAATTTACGTCGCTACATTTGGAAGAAACGTGAGAACATGAACTTGTAAAAAACAATTGCAATACGGTACTTCAAAAAAATTCATTAAAAATAACACGTTGGAGCCTAAGGACGGCGGCAAATACAGCTACAATGATAATTGTGAAGTGACAGAAAACATATCAAATTGTAAAAGAATCACAATCACAATGATGCGGTAAACAAGCGAATAAATAATCTTAAGAGATGAAAAATCCAAAATAAATTATTTGAATATCAAGTCACATTTGACGGAATTTTAGTTCCTACACAATTCTTAACTTTTCGTATTCATATTAAAATTTCATAACATTATTAATATTTCATATCCGTAACATTCGATTTTTCATGTAATGTTCAAAGACAATTCTTGAAATTAATAAACATTTACGATAACGTTTTTGAAGCTAATACCAGTGATGAATCATCATTATTGAAGTGATCATAAAGCCTCAAAGCAAACAAACGAATGACTCCACGAATGTAATCATAAACAACAGTGCAAATATATTTTTTACAGAAAAGACGAAAATGCTCCAATTAACTCAATCGTCAATTTTTCGTGTCAACTGTAAAGCGAAAATAGCAACCTCAGACTGTGGTGCTGAAAGCTGTTCACGAACCAAACGTTTTATTTCCGTTACTGATAGAGATTTTGATTCGGCTGAAAGCATTAACCGTCATATCAAATCAAATTTATAATATTTTAATGCAGCAGTAAATGTTATCATTCATGGTAAATAGCCATTTCTCATGGTATAATCATGTACTAAAACGGTCCCAATCCTCTGGCTTTTACTCTCATAGCGCAAAGATTTGAAAACGGAATTTCAACAGCGCTTTCTCCCCGCTCTCCATTTTTGGAGAATATATCAGCTTAACAGAAGAGGGTGGGTGTGGTAACAAAGATGAAGATTAAAAATTTTCGTAGTTGAAGAGTACTAACAAGATTGAAAAGCACCGATCTGCTAAACGTATTCTCGGTAATTCATTTAGTTTTCAATACATTCAAAAAAACCATCTTCAGAAAATGATGACAGGGACGTCACTCAGCATATTTTGGGGTGGGAGTACTGCAGATGAAACGAAGCACTTAAATTGCAGTGAAAACAATTTTGTGACGAGTGCGTTCGTTTCAGCTGGTGAAAAGACAGTGATTGAAAGAAGAGAAGCAATAAAATAACTGAGAACTGATAATGATAAATATTATACCACCAATAATCGACAGCTTACATTGATCATTGAGAAATAGAATCAGTTCGTTAAGATCATCCTTCGCTAATTGCTTCCGTACAAAAGTCGGCAATTGTTCGTATTCACATTGCGAAATGTTGGTTATCCTTCAAGAATTGGGTCAGCAACAATGACCGCAAAAAATGTGTGAATATTATTGCTAGGTTCGAGGAGTGTTCGAATAGATTTATTCTGATTTCGATTTGAATGAAAAACGATATGAACTTTAAAATTTAATATAACGCTAGAGTGTTGTACGATCAGGGTAGTCTTTAGAATACTATAATTTACACAGTTCAATAGTCACACTAGAACAAAACAACGTTACGCAATTGAATTAAACGATTTCAACAACTAAAGCTTGAAGTAACATTTAACGTTAGCAAAAATACTTTTTGAACGGAAGATTCTTGGCACGACTTAGGTATTCTATTACTGCTTTTGAACGTAATACTGGTGATTTCGGTAGCAACATCCAACTTTCTAGCTGAAATCATAATTAGGACAATTACGGATAAGTTTTCCAAAGTTATCTGTGACTAAATTAGTTATAATACTTTTATGAGCAATGAATTCACTAGAAAATGATCTCAACTGAATCAGTCTCACTCTCATAAATTATTATGTTATGAAAATTCACAACGGCTTTACTCAACAAATCGACCAATTTCAATGAGTCATAATGGTTATTTGAGGGGGTAGTGGGTTTGGTTTGGAAATCAAAATCCTTTTGTGAAGGACAGGCTTGAATTGGAAACGCGTCCTTATCCAGCCAAACAATTGATTAGCGGAGATTACAATCAAAAATGTTGGGGATAAAATGTGAAACGGACGAATGAATTCAAATTATAAGAAAAATGTACTTGTTTCTGTTGATTCAATGAATGTTCACGTTGAGTAGCGTATCCTGAATAATTGTGATATGATGTCGACGAATTTTGCTGAGATGACTCTTCGTCGTCAAAAATCGGTACTGTCAGTGGTTCCAAATCTGCCACTGTTGTATCATCTCCATCTTGACAGAATATCGAACCATCCATCGAGAATTTTACATGTGATGGCATTTTCTCGAACTCTTCTTTAATTTTTCGTATATCATCAGGCACCGTTTTTTCATCTAAACCGATCAATCATTAGAATCAACGCAATTACATTTGTTTCGTCGATGATTTGCAGTATGAATCACATTGAAGATGATTTTGGAATTCGATTAATCAAGCAGATTTATCATTCGTAACAAGTTACTCATTGTTAGCATTCCTCATTACAAATATCGCAACACTCACTGAAGGAATTTCGAAATAACTCCATGGAAGCAATTACTCATTCATTACGATTCATATCGTTCGTAAATTCAGTGTAAAACAGCACGAGTTATTATTGTAATTGTAATTCAACAAAGAAACATACACCGATAATGATTAACTGATGTAAAACTTTGTGAGAGAGTCGGAGATGGTGGTAACTGCATAATCTGATTCAGCTTAGACTTCTTTGTAGCAATCCTTGAAATTCAAATGTTTAATAGAAACCTTCATTCCAAAACGATCATATTTTCCGATTGGACTTCGATGAGTAAATTACAATGATAAAGTTCATCTCTATACCGGTCTTTCAAAATCTATTTTGACAATTATCTCTGTTGCTCAATTAATATCTACTAATAAATAAGTCGAGCACATTGTTCGATGGATGAACACTATCAAAAAAACGTCGAGTGATACACTGAACACGAAAATTTATAATGATCTTATGGTTAACTTTGTCTCAGCCATTAGCTGCTGACCGAATTTTGAACATAATACAGGTTCCGCAGCCAAAACTGATTCTACGTCAAAAGGATTGAATTTGGCGATATTCTCCCTGAAAATTATGCATTCATTTATTTATTCGCTTGTTTTGTTAGCTTCCATGGGATAACTGAAACGCTCAGCAAGTTACATTAACAAATAATTCAAAAACAAAATTCAGCGATTAGGCGAAGATTTGCGACTGCGAAAATTAGTAAAACTGAGATGTGCTCGATAAATATTTTGAAAAATGTGTACGGTCCATAAAAATGATGAAATGAAATGGTATTCAAGATCACTAACTGTTTTTACTTTCATTTAATACTATATCTCTAAATCAAGAGATATAAAACTTTTACACCTACTCTCAAATATTATGTAATGTAATTCAAAATAAAACAGTAACAGAATATTGGATAGAAACAAACTTTTCCTTTGACTGCTCATAACTATCATCAATGTTACTTCTGGATGGTTCCTCATCATATGTATTATCTTCTGTAATTGGTGTTTGTTGGCATTCAATATTCATACGCCTCAATTTAACTTCACCGCATTTCTCTAAAACTTACTTATTATCAACTAAACGAACTTACGAATTATTCTTTGAAAATGTCAAATCAAAACGAAGTGGGAAATATCAAAGCGAAATTTTAATTCGCTGATTCAATACGGGATATTAAACAATCAATGCAGCTTCCGATCAATCTGTTTGGATTAATTTTGTAAAAAAGATCATTACGCTTATGGTCCTTTTGATCAAGCATAAGTTGTTTCATATATGTTACACGAATAGCAACGAATGTGAAGTATATATTTGAAAATTTCAACAACTCTTCTCAGAACACAACAGAATTCTGACCAATGTATTTATCAGTCATTTGGTGAATCGTTTCTGCAGTTTTCATAAGTGTTTTTGAGACATTTAAAGTCGCTTCCTTGAGACGTTTTTTAGCGATGGCTTCATCCCGAACTGCTGCTAATAATTTCGAATAACTGTTTAGCACATCACTTGTCATTTCACAGTCTACAGCACCTAATTTTATCCATTCCTGGAATATCACACATGTGTGCACATGAATCATTCATTGAAACATATATTTATATAGAAGTGAAAGTATACCAATTTAGCAAAAGATCAAACTGTTCACTACTAGGAGCGTACTTTTAAAAATTATTTCGACACCTCATAAGTAAAATATGAACAGTCAGTGACATTGAAATACCAGATGGATCAAATTGTTCACCACAATCTTCGATTGTGAAGTCCGACTGTGATAGCCGATTCAGCAATGAAAACATTCACTGATGAAAGCTTGACGTGAGCTAGTATCTCTTACCAAATATCATTCAAACACATTCATCGAGTGAAAATTGCACATTTCAAATTTTTCTGAACAAAATATTGCGTATTCATTCTTGCAAATTTGCTAAAGTAGAGATCGATAAGATACAGTGATTTGATGTAAAACAGTGAAAGTATACTTTGCTTAACGTTGAAAATGATCATATTAATGAAAATGGTTGAAAACAACTATGGCACGACAGAATTACTCATAATTATTGAGCAATTTGAAGGTAAATAACCTTGTACGTTAGCCAACTGGCGTCATCATTCAGGAGTTGATGGCCACACGCCTCGACATATCGACGAATTTCTCCCTGAACCACTGATTCTAGCTTCTTGCGAGTCAAATTATGATCACTTTCACTTTTTGCCATCTGAAAAAAACCACTTTACTTAAGATAACATAAGTGGCACGCAGATAAAGCGATGTTAATATCGTTTCTACGGCAAGTCACATAAAGAGAGCCCATTGTCGGCAAATACTTTTGAACGTGCGTAGCCTCATCGTTGAATGAACGTACCTACTAAGCTGGGGATGTTTCTGTGCGTGTGTATCTGTAGCCCCTCGGCTATAGTAGTGCTTGATGAACATTAAAAATATTACCCCGTTGTAAAAAAGTGCCAATACTTAAACTGTTCGAACAAAGAGGATCAGAGATAACACAACACCTTCGTTTCATCTGATGCAGCACCTCAAAACATACCTTGATACACCATCACACCGGATGAGCACTAAATAATTCAACAGTCCCATATTTCAACCAATAAATACTACTCATCACTTTTGAAAATCATAATGGCGGGAAATAAAGTGCAAGGTTCAGAAGTGTGGCAATACCGCAACAGTCAACTATGCCTGAGTTATGACGTTGAGCCAGTTTAGCAGCGTTCAATAACCATGAAGTTATGCAGAAGTGATGCAGAGATGATTCAGCCACATCTCTAGTCTTAGGCTTTAGCATAGGCTTACGCTGAGGTCGATGTTCGAGATTTGGTGCACACTCAAGTCCCAAGTGAACTATATCGAGTTCTTTGGTTACACATTATCGTAGAGGCTTTAGAAACAGAAGCCAATACCAAATTGTAAGAAAATTGTTTTTCTGTAATACATTATACATCTCAATTCTTGGAATTTCTTCAGCTCTGACACTGAAACTTTCATCGCATCTTCGTTTTTGGAAATTGATGTTCCCAAATCACATATAATGAACATGCAAGAATCCGATTTGAAGCAAACTGCAAACGGTTCCAATCAACGTTCAATTTATCCTCAACTTCTGTAGACCAATTTTTCTTGAATTGGTCATTAAAAAGCGATTTTCATATTGCGCTGTTTCGGAGATTTTAATTGAAAGCTTCATAGTAGTCATTTCAGGCAACTTACGGATACTAGATTGTAAGATTGATGAATTTTTTCCAGATTCAACAATAATGCAGCTATTCAAAGTGGAACTTAATCAGGCTCATGGATAACACCAACAAATTCCCTTCCTTTTGCATCAGCGTTCTTATGATGTGAATTAAGGGATGATTCTACACAATGCTTTAATATTCTATTCAGTTTATTGAGTTGAAGTGAATGAAATTGGTTGTGATAATATACCACCCTATTGCTACTCTTCGTAAAGTTATTCTAACAGCAATACGCAACGATTGCAGTCACGAATTAGTCGTCCTGTACGAACCAAAAAACTTTGTCAATGCAATTTATTTCTTAATCAACGGTAATAATGAATGTCACTAATTTGATTTGAAGGTCCGATATGTTTAAGAAGAATCACAGTCAGTAACATATCGATATGTGTTTCTTATTGTAAAACAGTTACATATCATATCAGTTACCTAGTACATATCATTAAAACTAACGATAAGTTACCTACAAGTTACTCTCATTAATAATTTTTCAAACGTTAGCAATGTGTCAGCAATTCCACTATAATGTACTAATCTAATATTATGCTTACCCATTATGCAGTAGCAGTTTTGTTGATATGTTTTGTTCCGCATGAATGAGATCTTGTACGAATAAAAAACGTTTCGATATTATCGGGATCTCGGGTTCATGTTAAGTTAAGTAAGCTTTTTTTCGGATAGGATTACTATAACGATGATAAGGATTATAATTGTAATGGTAAGAGTAAAAATATGCAGTAATTGGAATAATGATAATAACAATGGTAATAGCAATAATGATAATAATGACGGCAGAATTGATAGCAATGATAATTATGATAGCCAGAAATCAAGTGTTTTTTGGTTGAGACCGTGTTTTAGGTCGGATTGAAATGATATTGCAGAAAGACGTCAATAAGTATTCATTCCTTTTAATCATCTGAAAATAAAAATTCACATAATCTAATTATATGGGTTTGAGTTCTTCTATGACCGTAGTTCAAAGAGCCGGAAAGTCAACGATCTGAATTAATAATCACTGCCATCTTCCTTAAAAACTATTGGGCGGTCTGGGAGAATAGCCCTAACCGTTACGATCGTCAAATCAGTAATCTTTTTATGGAGATCGGTGATTCGCTGAGTTGATACCCTTAGCTGTGCGGAAAGAAGGTTGGTGAAGGGAGAGTGCGTTATTTATGATATTGGTGATAACAGAAAAACTTGAACTCATTATCAGTAGCATAATGTTTGAAATATGGTCTCAGTCAAGAAGCCTCTCCATTTGTCATTATTGGAATATGCGACTGCACAATAATAGTGTCATAAAACCTCTCAACAATGACATGAACAATAATAGTATCACTTGTATCGTTGTTTATCTTCATCGTAGCCCATTTCCATTATTTTTTCAAGTCCTTTCCTTAAGGTATTAGCCCTTATGAAATGTTAACTTTTCTGTAACATTGGTGATATTCGTTGGTTTGGTAGACCACAGCATTATTTGCTTTTCGATGAGAATTTGTTGAATAAATATCAACTCAGTGAACAGCAGGAAAATATTTCCAAGCGCCATTACTTAGAGGAGTGGTTCGGTACAGTCTAAACAAACGTGGATTTTTCACACTACACTTTCCACTTCACATAATTTGTCCCCTGAATTCGCGTCAAGGAATCATCGCCCCTAATGCAAATCACTTCCATCACATTTCGCTGTCGTTTTTAATCTTAATTGTTAAATATCGTTATTCAGTTGATGCGTAATGGTGAAGGATTTGCTAGATCGCCGTCCTGTATGCTACACTGTCAGGTTGGAGTCAACTACGCTGTGCTTTCTGTCAGCATTTGTAAATGGCTAAGCATCGATGCGCCGACCTAAAAAGGTACCACCTATGTCCTGAAGGTATCACATATGTCTTTTTGAAACAAGGGTTCTTGATTTCATCCCTTTCATCGAAATGGGGACTCGCTAATGTTTTGCCATGTTTTTCAAGAAACGGTCTTGCCATGTGAACTTTTCTCGTATAATAATTTAGCGACAACCTAAGTCTAAGCCCAGTGCCTTATGTAGTTGTATCGTTGCGTATGCTCACTCAAAGTTTCAGTTGAATACTACAGTCTTTGCAATGGCATTTTCCATGGGAGTGGCACAAGATCAGTAACGTTTTGGATCGGAGACTATTAATCAAAATCAAGAGCGGCTGATTAATTGGTGATCGAATTTTGGTGGTGATTGATTAAAACCGACCGGTGTTGAAACTTTACCTCATCGATGGCCATTGAAAACTGTCTATAGGTTCCCAATTCTGGTTTTTGGTTCGTTTAAAAGCGTTTTTGCGTTGTGCTTCGCACTTTCCGCTCTGGTACAATTCTATACAGCACTCGAGTACAGTATGAGTACTGTTTGGTACAGTGGCATCACTATTTCCAATTTTTTGGGGATGAATGTTCGAAATGAGTCATAAGTATTAGCTTGACGCGATGTCGTTGACTCAGAAGTTTCAGCCCACCCACTTTGCTACAGCTCGCCACCCAAGAGCATCACCTCTCGTCATTTCGTAAGTTCGCGCTAATTAATTTAAAATAGTTTCGCTGCGGGAAGAGCATCTTGTTCATAATTACGGTGAGATTGTCATAAAATTCGTATTAGGAAGCTAACTATTTAAGCTACTTGCAGACGCCTGGGAAGCCCAGTAATGTGAAAGATGTGAAAGAATGCGGTTGTTGATCTCATTTTGTTCGTTTGATTTGGTTCAAATGATAAATTTGGATGATCTCTGAAGGTTGATTGATTCTGTTTGGGTGATACAAGGTCGAAAAGATTGAAGATTGTTTTTTTTTTGATATAAATCATCCATAATTCCAATCACTGCAAATTTCCACGTTACGATCTCAGTTATTTGAATTGTTTTGAATATGAGATAAGCTGAACATCGCCTAGAATTTGAAGCGATTTCATTCTCCAAGCATTCTCTGATATCCTATAAAATTACTGGAACCGCTTCTCACATGAGTTTTGACCCATCTTCGGTCATACGTTTGTTAATCGGATGCAGTTCTCACACAGCTGTGATTGAAAGTGTTGCGGGTAATCAGTACTTGAGGCATTCTTTCCACTTAATTCCATTCTTGACAGTCACAAACTTGAAGTTGCATTTAAAAATGTTGGTTCCGTTGATAAGTCATTAATGGTCCGAATGGCATTTCGAAAAAATGAATTTGATTTTTCAACGATACTTTGTTGACCTTCGAATAATATCCTTTTCATGGCAGCGATTGTAATTTCTACCGGTAATATATAAGATGTACACGGAACTGAGGGAAGCAGCAAATTTCACGACCAGATTCGTTTATCGCATAATTCCAAAGCGTCGTGTAAGCTTTCTTTTTTTTATCATATGATTTACCGTCAGTCCATTTGATCGTGAAGAATGTTCGCACTTTCGGAGTTTAATTACGAGAGTCTTAATTTTCTGCAGAAAAATGCGTTCTTGAACTTTACCTTTTCGACAGATACAACTCCTCAGTAGAGATTGCCAACTAGCGAAATAAGTTGTTGTATTGTAAATGACTAATTTAATGAGGGCTTCTGTAGAAACTGATTCCATTGTTTCAGATGTCGATATTCGTAGAACACCTCGCCAATGGTCTATTGGTTAGATATGCAACCTCATGGAATATTGAGAATCCTTCTGAAGGTTACTGTTCGTTGCATCATTTATTATTTATAATCATCCACTAAAACAGATTTATCTGTATTTACATTAGGTGATATGATCGACTGCGTCTGTAAGAAAGTTTTCGGAATAATCCAGCGAAAAAAAATAATACGATTGCATGAATGGTCAATATCATCAGTCTAAGATTTATTCGTTGAAACCAATTAATCTTTGATGAAAATCATCATAGTTCATTGAAAGTTAAAGGCGCAGACGAACGTGCTATCCGTATCAATACACCGAATGGTACAACTGATTTAGTCAAGCAAATCTGTGTAGCGCTATCGATAGATTTTGAGCGTTTTGTTGCAGCTTTTCCAAGTACTTTTTATTCATTGATCAATGTAATTTTTAGAAATATTGATGTGATATTCGAAATATCATTCACGCAGACTAACGTCAATTGTTTTTTGAATGAGTTCGATTTTCAACGTTCCATTTGCATAGATACATTTTTGATACTGTGAGTAAAGCTACACAGATGAAGTGCGAAAAAGATTTGAAATCGAGAGCATCTGTGAGGCTATACGTCGAATTATTTCGTTCATTACAGCTTTATTCGTATTTTTAAAAGACGACCGTGAAAATCAATCGATCCCTGTTTATTTTCAGCGGCTATATGAAACGTTAAAACAAACCACATGCTGACTATTCGCAGAAATGATTAGAAATGACTGTTCGCGTAATCAGATGCAATCAATATTGATGAATAAACTGGTTTTAAGCGGGGCTGGTGGTGTATTGGAATGCGGGTGAAGTGTTCTGTCGTATTGCTGGCATTAGAACAAAATTAATTATATGGTCAGGTAGTACGACAGAGGATGACAGCTATGAACCAATGCCAACAATAAAATCGAAAATTGCTAATGTCTACTCAACACGTAAAATAAACATGCGTAAGAGGATTGATCAATGCTTATTTGCATTGATCATTTCGAATCAGCTAAAATCAGTGATAGTTCGGGTGGTTCATGCATAATTTTTTATATGAGAGGCATTAAGACTATTTTATTCAGATGTAAACAATTGGGAGCAAATCGTGAATCAACTTTCGTGAGACTTGAGCTAGTTCCATGGCAAGAGCATTCCGACTTCTTTTGGAACCCCACTATGTTCTCGGCACCTGTGACAGTAAGTCCTCAAAAACTGTCGTAATTAACTTATTGGACAAGCTAAATCAGCGGTTCTGACACTCTTGTGCTCCGTGCCTTCCTCTGACCATATGGTAAACTGACGTTCCCTCTGCCCCTCCAGAAATCTACGTGACCGCAGTTTCTCTATTCTTCTGACAATTTGTCATGTCTAGTCGACAATTCAAAATGAAAACAGCGAATTCACACATCAATCAGGGATATTTTCTGCCGGGAATTCGGTTTTTATATCAAAGGAATTGTATATCTTCTGATCAAACAAGAAAATTATTCAGCAATAATTTGTTAACCTCCTAAGTTCTCCATCTGATACCCTCAAATTCCCTCAGAGAAGAATTCTCCTGACTCCCCACCCTTTTGCCACTCTGTATGAACCGCTGTTTTACATGGTCATACTAACGTCTCAAAAGTTATTCGTTAACATTGAATGTTGTTACGAATTTAGCACTTGAGTTAAATTTTGGTGATTAAATAGTCACTCACTTGTGTCATCTAACATAAATGTCTTGTAAATATATGAATACTGATGCTGATTTGAACATCACTGAAATGAAGAAACTTTCTAAAATCGATATATGCATTCTCATGAAATGTTTTTCATGTAAGTTGTTGGTTGCGTTTATGTAGATGAATAATTCACTAACAGGTACTGGAAATGGTGTTTCGTTTCGTTGGTACAAGTCTAGGCCGGCATTCAGATGCAGCACGTTTGCTGCTACACGTTTTGGTTCACGTAAAGCACAGCCCGATTTTGAGGCGTTGAAACGTATTCAGTATACCGCCATAAGAGCACCGTTCGATATCGATAGCAACGATAACAGCACTTCGAATTCATCATCAACAACCAACTGTAGTTGTAATGATGCGGGCCATGCAACAGTGAGCCAGCAACCAAGTTGGTTGATTCATTGTGTTATTTCGGTACTGATTGATGAGTTCGGAAAGTCGAAAGGATTTGGATGAGGTCAGAAAGGAAATGTTTCAGAACAGTGTTCATGAGGTTATGGTACTTTGAATGCGGTTCACGCCTTTCGTTCTTGGAGAATTTCAGTTGTATAACAAACACTGTTTTTTTTTGTTGCTAGAACTCATTACGTTAATATTTCACTCTTTTTTGTTAACACCCTTATTTTCTCATATTGGGATGCGAGTAAAGTTGTGTTTGTTGCTCTGACTGTTTTTTAGAAGTTTCTCATGCGGCCATCTGCAGTGAACACTTGATTTGCTCCTATTATCATTATAATGCTATCAAAGAAGTATAAATATGAGGTGTGTTCTAAAAATAACCCACCGTTGTTCATCAAAACCACTTGTACTCAGATACGACAAAGTTTTATGTATCCTGTTCTAAATAGTTCCCTTGGGCCGCTATATACTTCTTCCAAAAGTTCTGCCACGGTCGGCAGCAGAGCCGGGATGCTTCCTTTAGGATAGTGTAGAGTTGGTCGGTCACATTCTGCAAAATGTCTTCTTTGGATTGAAATCTAATCCCACCCGAGGCCTTTTGAGGTCGAGACAAGTCAGAAGCCAGGTCTTGAGAATAGGCAGCGTGACGGAGCATAGGTTTATCTTGTTTGGCCAGGAAACTCTGTGTCAATGTGGAGAAATGGTACAAATTTAGCTGAGGTTCTTTTGAAGCCCAAATCCTCGTGCATAATGGAATGAACAGAACCAGTGCTGACGCACACCTCGTTTACAAGTTCTTTGATCGTGAATCGACAATCCTGCTTCACCCTAGTTCTCGGCTGGTAAATGACGATTCAGTTCAGGATGTTGAGGCCTTTTCAGATCATGTTTTATACTCCATTGATGTGCAGCCATCTCTGAGGCGTGTGTACCACTTCTTTATTTGCGTGATGCTCATTGCTTCGTCTCCGAAGGGTTTCACTTGGAAATTATCGTTTCACGTCGGAATTACCAAGCACTGCAGAAAATTTGGTGCAGTAGCGTTGCTTAAGTGTTTCTGTCATTTTGTCAAAAGTGACGGCGCTTACTTGAAATTCTTCATTCATCGGTCTGCTGTCGAGTCGAAGTTTCTGTAGGCTGGAAAAAATTTACTCATGCGCATTAGGATCGTCTATATACATGCACCAAACCATCTCTCATTCATTTGGGCACGAAAACACACCTCTGATGTTATCCTTAATCGTTTTTATTATTGTCATCATCATTTCTATTCATGAATGCTGATCATAAAATCATTTAGTGATTGCAAACTCTTCGAACTCATATTCGTCAGATGACACAGTACTACCATTTTTTCCTCAATCAATTAATGCATTACTATTTACTAATAACAGTCACTTGAGAAACGCATCCGAAAAGGCGGGTGAATTTAAAATGAATGAACGCTTGATCTGCTTATCTGAATCAATTAAAATAATAGTGGCTCTCAAATGGTCATTGATGTTCGATTGAAGCAAAATTTATTGATTAAGTGAACTGATATAATGAGTGAAATTATAATTAAATGCGTAGTTTTTGAAAACGGAATTGAACGACACGATAGTTCAGTTCAAATGCAAGGTTCAGTAATATGTGTTTAATTAATGTGTGATCATGATGATGCAGCTGTAACTACTGCTGATCAGGATTACCGATTGGATTTCAAATGAAAATATATGCAGTGTTCAACGTTAAGGTTATGTTGGTGGGATACTTGCTTTGAAATGCGATAAAAATAAAATTTTGGTTAACCTGTATTTAGCTGATAAATGCGACATCTCTTCATCCAATTATGCGACAATACATTCAGAATGCGGGTGGTTCACTCGATACTTTCGCTGTTAATAACATGCTGTTTCCATCGCAACAAATTCAAAATCACGTATGGGATGACCAACCAGCAATGTCGCAACCTCTTGCAATATACGGTTTTTCATTCACAGGAGATTGCAATACCAATGTCACTCGTAATAAATATACCAAAAATGATCAACAACCAAGGAGCGCATTTCTTTACAATATTAGCAATAGCATAGAAGCACAGTCTGTTAGTTCTTCAACTTTTGAGATATTCACTTTTGTTTCTTTCTTCAATGAGATCTTTTTTCACACTCATTGATCAGTGATATCATTTCTTCGCTGACACCTGATTCTTCAACTACTCTTGTCGTGCATCCGCTAACACGACGAAACAAATTTCTTTTTAAATAAACGGCATTTCAGCTGTTATTTTCAACTAATTAGTTAGTGTCCAATCATCGCAAAAAAAAGATCTATTTTTACGTCCCTGTGAGGACTTTCGGGCAGTGTTATGTTAATTACCTGTTGAAACTGTGAATGAGCATGATAAATTATGAATCGAAGGGAACAGAGAGTTATAAAATCGACCATTATGAGATCATGAGAGTTGAATGTATCGAATGGGATGCCGGACATTTGGTTTACCGAAGTGTTCAGTTCAGTGAATTTTCAAGAGGAGGCCAAATGTCTTGTAAATTAATTGTTTGGATATGTAAGGCAAGCGTGAATATGGCTGTATAATAAACAGGAGATGCCCCGTTTAAAATCACTTTCGGGAACAGTTATTCGCAAGCAAAGATGATTTTTGGTTTCGAGCTTAATTAAATTTCGAAATGAAATAATATTGTTTCGATTAGGTTCGTGGATGGAACAATCAAAATAGCATTGCATCACAAAACATTCGCAATGCAGAGACTTTATTCTATGACCAATTTCGTGCAATTGCAAATTCTCACATATCGCCTCGAGCTCCAGATAATCATGGTGATGTTTCGTTCCAATTATTTGTCTGTAATAATGACTGCTTTTGCTTTTCTGTGCCGATTGACAATGCTCGAAACTGAACTATTATTGAAGTACATGTTCAATATTTCTTCATTGAATCACTTATTGAAATTACAGCGGGTAAATTACTGAAAGTGCACACTTATATGACGGAAACATTTCATGTGAAAATCTTCATGAGTTGTATGAATCTCACGGAAGTCTGAATGTTTGATCTAAGGTGATGGAAGAGTGATGCAAGTTGGAATGGGAATGCCGTTACTAAGAGGTGATAGTAATGATAATATGCCATTCGTGGATGGTCATCATTTTGGTCTTCGTGTAGCTCGCAACAGTATTTGGGTTAATTTGTTTACTTCCTCATCTCGTACAATTTTCTTTTTTTTTTCAAACTGCAATTAAGGATTTTGATATGTTAACAATTACTGAACGACTGAAAAGAATTGGTTATTGTGCCAGCTTATATTCAAATGAACCTTCTTTCAAGGGTGGAAGTAATGTGTCGGATTGGATTTAGCAAACACAGAAGAATCAACTTTGCAGCTTGCCTACGCACAGCTGGCAGACATTTTCAATCAACACACATTTTCATCGACATCATCTATTGGTCAGTTTTTGTTGAACGATGTTTCTCACACTTGGAATTTCCATTACTCCCTTCGGTGGTCTGACAGGCTGTCATTACTCTCCCCTCCTCCCGCTACAAAAACTTACAATCTCCACGAATAAAGTCAGGAACAGATCGAAAACCGGTCCAGAAAATGCTCAGTAGCGTGAAAGAAATTGATTTTCTGGAATGAAGCAAGTATTTCGTTCATCAACTGCAGAAAGAATATGAATCTGAGCAATTAATAACGAAAAGCAATGAAAAAAACGTTTGTTAGCGGTGAATAAATTCAAAATTATCAACAAGTTCATTTGTATGCTCGATTATCCCTTCCCCTTCCTGGCTTCTTCAAATCACCTCTCAGGGGTACTTTACTCGCCATGAGAAACACTACCCTAGAACATGCAACTTACAGAATACTGTTTCCTGATGTCGAGTGATTTTTTTTTGCGGCACAGAAAGTAATTTCAGCGTGTATCAAGTAATTAGGAGTAGGATCAAATTATAACAATGAGTTGTACTCGGTAATTAGAAGCTGTGCCATCTTCGAAGCCATCATCTGATAGCGTTTTCAATTTTTGGTTTATTCATATTGCTTATGTTTATGTATATACAAACGCTGTATGATTACAGGCAACAGTGAGTCGATACGTGCATCAAGAGTGGTCATGAATACACTGGGTAGAACTTTTGTCAGAGGTTCAGCACCAATGAATCGCTTAGATGGTGAATATGAAGGTGTACCGACTACAAACTATCATTTCAACAACTGGATTGACTTATATAGTTTTGTTCTTACGCAGCATATATCCTCCTAACAAGTTGAGTCGTTGTTCCCCGTTTTCGTGGTGGTGGTTTTTATTCTCCATTTCTTCGATGCTAATCTGCATCAAATTCATTTCTGTTTTGTTTGCCATTCTTCATATTCCTCTGCATTCTCCCGTAATCTTATTCATGCTGGCATACCTTTTTTCATTCCTTCCTGTTGACTTTTATTGTTTATCTGTCTCCTTTTCGTTGGTTCATTCTCTTGAACTGCTTTCTGGCCACATCTCGATACCTCAGTGCTTCTCATACTCTTGCCCGTCGTGTCCCCTTCGAGCATAAGGCAAACCACGATTCTACCTCCCCCGAACAACCAAGTGACTGTAGTTGCTTCTCTCATCTGACAGCCTATTACTTCTTAGTAGCAAATCGATTAATTGATCAACAAGTCTGCTACTGAGAATCCGTTGATATTATACAAAGATTCGATCCCTTGTGCTGTCATATTTTGACAAATTATTTTTTGTATTGATAATAATGATTAAAATTTTCCTGAAATATCCGACAAATGTGGGAGAATTGTGAAAAAAAAATTACCGAGATTGATTTTGCAGCCTCCTCGACTCCATTTTGGGGGAAGTGTTGTCATCTTTTTTTTTNTTTTTTTTTATCACACAAATCTATAAGTATCTTGTTACATTTATCAGTTTTTCAGTAGTTTTTAATCGAATATCTCCATGTACTATCTTATTTTGATAGATTGTTTCACAGTTTGTTGTTATTATTTCAGAAGACTTTTGCATTTGATTGGAATACGATTATTTACTGTTTGATTGCTAACGTTCTGATTATTTCTTTCTTTGTGCTAGTGGCCTGCATTCACCCGTATATTCAGTGATATTTTTAACGGACGATTGTGACGTGGAAAGAAATTTGAAAATTGATGTTTTCACGGGAAGTAATTTTTTAATGCTTCGGTTCAGGATGATTATATTCGTCTTGGAGTGAGAGATTGATAATTCGTTCATTTAACAATTAGTCTGATGACCATTTCATTACTATTTTTTCTTTCACATTGGGTATTTCGTAGTTTTGTTTTTTTTTTCATCAATCTGTAATTTGAATAATTCTTCCTTCATTAATCTGTAACTTCGATTTTTCTTCGTTAATCTGTGGCTTTGATTGATGTTCCATGCTGTTGATTCAGTCATTTTGTTTATCTGTATCAGTGGTTCTCATGTTCTTGTACTCCGTTCCACTCGTTGTTTATATAGCAACTCGCCATTTTCCTACTCCAACGATCCAGCTGACCGCAATGCTGTCCACCCATCCCCCTCCCACCTCTTCTCTGACAATCCATCACTTCTTATCATCAGACCAGACGAAAACCAGGTAACTGATCTATTAATCAAAAAGTCTACTGCCAAGAAATCATCGGTTGTATCGGAGGATTCAATTTCTTATATTAAGAACAGATATTTTCGACAAATGTGGAAAAATTCTGAAAAAAATCAATCAACAATGATTCTCTAACTTCCTGAATTGCTCATCTAGTACCCTGAAGCTCAATCTCTGAAAAGCACTGCCATATCTGATCTGTTACATTTATCAGTAATTGTTAACTGATTATTGTCATGTGCGGTGGATTATTGCTTGATAGTTTGTCACTGGTGTTTTTGTATGAAGTCATAATTATTTGCACTGTTGACATTTAATCAGTGCTTCTTCTCGTGATGAATTCTGATATAATGATATTGTTGAGCGAATAAATCCATTATTGCATGTTGGATAGTTTTGATGCCATTAAGGAGGATATGTTTCTCTTGCACATTAAAATTTCTTTCAGAGAGACTCACACTTTACAGATAGAGCCGTGTTTGATAAGCATTTGTTAATTTTGCATGATTACGATCACTTCAGGAGCACCTCTAAGAAGCAGCGTATTTTGTCATAATCCAAATAATTGTGAGTATTAGTAGGCTAGTGTTACGTGGGTACTGTCGAAGTGGTGACGATTGCAAATTGAAAACTGATAATTTCTCAGAAAATAATTTTTAATGCTTTAGGTTCAGAAGGTTTTCATTCATGTTGGCGTAAGACGTTAATAGGATTTGTTCTTTTGACGATCATTTTATTGCTCATTTTCTTTGTTCGCATTTCACATTGGGTCTCGTCATGACACTAGTTTTGATTTGTTCTGCTATCAACTTTGAAAAGTTCAATTATTTTCAGTTTGTTCATTTATCTGCTATTTTGATCATCTTTATTTACTTTTTGCTCATTTCTTCTGCATAAATCAGTAAATTTATTGGTTGTCATACTGTTATTTGTTTCAATTATGTTCACATGTAAGAACTGTTTGTGTTTCCATCGGTGCGACATTCGTTGATTTCTCTTTTTTAATAAATTTTTCTCTTTAACGGATGAGTGACCAGCCAAGATTTACTCGTCTATCAAGAATCGTGTCATTAATTTCATCCGATGAAACTGAACTGTCTTGACAAATCACGAAACTGAGCATTTTGGTCTTCACAACTCACGAATCAAACCAGCTAGACCGAACTGTTCATTTCGGTCAAACCAGCTATTCATGAACTGTGAATAGCCGCTTTTCGGCATGCTTTCATCCAAATTGATATGTTACAATTATTGATTTGTATTCGTGGCCACAACAGTAATCTACTGCTGCACCTTACGCGATATGCATAAAATTACATCATCACGACCATTGAGATTTATTACTGAAATCAGTCTTATGAATATAATTGACGATGACCGTTAACGTTGCACACCTTTCTATTCCTATGACATTTTTTCAACCGATCCAGAAGGTGATTCAATTCGCTATAACGTTACTTCTACGAATTTCTGGAAAAATTTTTATGAGCAGTGTAACGAATACTCGTTATGCAAATTCTGCTTCTAGCGAAACTCTGACCGCTGACGTCAGTTTATCTGATCTTAACCCATTAGTTCCCAAGATTATATTCGAGCTAAAATCCCCTTTTTTGAGCTGGAACCAAATATGTTCAGTGGGCACCAGTGGACGGACGAGCTTGAGAAAGGGAATGAATTAACTTGAGACAAGCTGGCAAATAAGGAACACCATTTCTATGCGAGCAGCAATCGACAACCATATAGCATAAAATTTCAAGCATTCTCTGTAGATCAGCCGATGTAACACTACTGAGCAATATTCCCTCTACAAATCTTCATTTTCTTCAAATCTTCGTTTTTCCCTTCTTCCATTTCCATTTCTACCTCTGTTTGTTTCCACTTATGACTGTTGTTCATCACTGATCAACAGTGTGAAAAAAATCAAATCAATAGTTCGTAATTGTATAACACATATAAAATTGTAAAATGATGGACATCGTCATTCATTGTGATATTAATACTGTGTGTTGTCTGGTTGGGGGTGCATTGAATTTGTATTCTAAATATCGTGCAGCTTACTCAACAAACTAGTTGTCAGTAAAGTTCGTTTTTTTTCGAGTGACCTTTCACCTGGATCGAATATTCTCGAAGATTTAACTCACTGAACTGAAACTTATAAAAAATGCCATCCAAACTGTCGTATATCACCAATTTAAGTGAATACTGTTGTGCTTAAAATGGCTGATCTTCGCGAAAAGGCAATCGAATCTCAGACCTAATTATAGAATAAAATCTTTACATCATACTCCTCAAGACCAATTCTATTTCAACGGATAAGAATTTCAGAATTTGAGTATTTCATCAATGATGGAATTCTCATTACCTGACCCCACAAAGAAACAACGTCAAGATCAACAACTCGTTAAACTTTTCAAAAGTATTGATGTGAGTTCATCGTTTTAATTGTGTTCGAGAAATGTTGTTACCATTGTTATCAATCCGAATTCGTTCACGTTCAGCATTCATCATCCATTCTTCACCAGTCGCTGATCATGCATATTCGAAAACATCTATTATTTGTTTATAACTTCAGAAACGTTATTGTCCTAGCGATTTTAGGCGAACTGCGTAACGACCGGTCAGAAATCAATTAAAAAATCGCCATATTCGTTACATTCCGAGAAAGGTGCTTCGTGCTTTCAAATGATCGCTACATATGAGATTATATTACAATACAATAAATTTTCTTTTCTTTCACAAACTGAATGAACCATTCATTCATAAGCTGTTCCAATGAATTATTCAATTTTTATGTCGCCTAAAGGCAATCGTGATTCTGAACTGAAATTGTCATTTTCTAATCGTCTCTCATGTAATTCTTATCTCAGCTCAAGCACATACCGGAGATTTTTACGTATCAATTCTAGGTTCGTTGAACACCAAAGATAAGATGGCTTCTGACTGCACAATCGAATATTTAGCTGAGTTGATGCAAGAGAAACGCCAGCTAGAAGTATTTCCACATTTGTTCCCAAACATTGAGCGTCTTATTGATGATGGTAATGTTCCATTAAATGTGTAATAATGACTTATCATCAGCTCGCTTTTGACAACAGCCGAACCGTATTGTTGCAAGCACAATGGGATCAGCAGTGAATTTGATTCAGTCTATTAATATTTCCAGAGATTGCTCACATACGTGTGGTTTTGTTTCAATGGGATTTTTCAATTGAAAAAGCGAATCTACCTGATCCCGAAGGAGATCCGATCATCGTTCAAGAGAAAGTTTATGTTCCGTCTAAGGAACATCCTGATGTCAGTTTATTTCAGTCTTTGAAAAAAATCGCACTAGTGAATATTGCATTGGTCATAAATGATGAAAATTTTAACGATTTATTAGAAATCATAGAGCTATGAATCTTATTGCAGTACAATTTCATAGGACGCATTCTCGGACCTCGTGGAATGACTGCCAAGCAACTCGCACAAGAGACGGGATGCAAAATTATGGTCAGAGGTCGTGGATCGATGCGCGATAGTCGCAAGGTTATTCATGACAGGAACACATAGCAGCTCTTATCATTTGCAAATGGCCACATTTCTTTTCACATTCAAAAAGCTACAGCAGTTGTTGAATTTCAGTAATATTTGATTGATGTAATACAATTCGATGAAGTGTTTCTTCCCATGAAGTAGTTGTTTCTTAAGGAAGAACAAAATCGCGGTAAACCGAACTGGGAACATCTGAATGAAGATTTGCACGTTGTAGTCCAATGTGAGGATACGCCAAATCGTGTTCATATGAAACTGAAGACCGGTGTTGAGCAAATTAAGAAGCTTCTCGTCCCTTCGGTGAGCTTTTCAATAAATATCTTCCATAACCCATTTGAGTCATACTGTTGTGGAGTACTCACTGAGGAATTGTCACGTTATATGAATGTGTTTCTATGAAGTGTTTGCTGCTCAATGTTAAGAAGCTTGACAAGTCAACGGTTTATAGCCTGAGGATACCGACGATTTGAAACGCAAACAGTTGATGGAATTAGCCATTATTAATGGTACATATAAACCAGCTAGCAAATGCGCGTCACGTACGTCCAATTTATATAGCAATTTTATGGCGTTCAATTTCATTCTTCATTGTCCATGTTCATTTGTTAATTTCACGCTTAATGTTTAGTTTTGCTGGCGATTTGGTTTCATAAGGTAATCTTGCTGATAATTGAAGAAGGTGTACATGTGCTCGCAACACCAGTGACTCTCGTTTCACCGATGCATCGTTCATCACCAATCACTGTTCCAACTCGTCAGTTCTTTGTATCACCCGTTGGTAGTCCGATTGCATCTGCTGAGAACGTCACTTCCTCTACATCTCTTCATCCGTTTGTCCAGTCACCAAACTATGAATACAACATGTTCTTGAGGTTAATCTTTATTTTCTCGTTTTAGTTTCTTCAATTTTTTCTCTCTCCTCCACATTTTAGTTCTTCGATTTAAATTCCAGTACAATATCCATTTGGAATTATCAAATTTATTTGATTGTTGTCACTAAATCATTGCTAGAAAGTTGTAGAAAATAACTAAATCTAGTCTCTAGCATATATTTCGTCCTCTCTCATAATCTGACTAATTTCAGTAAGCTGGATGAGAATTAAGTTGCATCGACTTCGTTTCAAATGAATATTATGAATTTTCGTTAGTTATAACTCCATAAAATACAATTGATCATCCCTATACATTAGACGAAAACACAATAGAATGAAGATGACCCGGTAAATCATTTAAAATGGTAGGAACAATTTCAGTCAAATTCCATATGAAACATCGTTAGCAGCACTATCGCTGAATGGTGAATATCAGTCGCCGTATACGACTGCACCAGTCAATGGAGCGTCGCTAATGAATGCAACGCCATTACCAAAATCACTGCAGCCATACTTTATCGATTCAACCACCATCACACCACCTGCGTCTACTGGCTCAGACCATCGTTGACTTTTTTGAGTTATATTTCTTTGGTTGTAATTGAGTTTTGTTACTATGTTGAAGGGATTGCTCATTTTGCTGGGATTTTTTTAGATGAAGAACGTGTATTGTTGAGTGGTTTTTGTTTTGTTTCACACTTATTGAGTACATCTTTGTGTCTTCGTAAATTTCGGCGGCTTTAATTTTAGAAATTATCTTGACTATATTGTTCGCTTTATTATTGATCTCAACACTCATTCTACAATAGTTCACTTTTGAATTTTAAAAAATTTACAATCGTGTGATTTACAAATTAAAATTCTCAATAAATTTATATTTTACAAAAAAAATCAGATAAGATTTTCTTAAATTTATGTCACAAGTATTTGTTAACTTCACGAATATCAGTAACTTTCAAGCTTCTCTGCTTTTGATTCCTATCAGATACGTCTGATTCAATAATTCATAGTAGAATCAAACATCCTTTAGAATCTCTCAGCATTGATCATGAGTCTAATTTGCGAACAGTCCTTCAAGGTGTATTGATAGGCTTTTTTCTTTGATATATTATCGCTGGATGATACTGAAATCGACACAATTATCAAATCAATCATTTGAATTGAACATCGACCTAAATAATGTTGATTTTGATTCGTTGTAATTGTTTATAAGGAAATCAATTGGATAATTTGAATATCTCGAAAGCTTCGGTACCGAATATACGTGACGACGCGTAATGCTGAATGAAGCGATCGCACGCTTGTGATATGATTGGTTTATTGACATACGACTGCGTTGACTACGTTCATTTGTTGAATTTTAACTTTTATTTGTTTTTTGTTGTGAATCAGTTTTTATTCCTTTTATTGTTGAGCAAATGCAATTTTTATGAACAATAAAGAATATATGCTGCAAGTCTTCTTATGGACGTTAGCAGTTGAACCTCACGATGATTCCAAGGTGTACATAGTAGTTGTAATCATGCGTTCTCAGGAAAACATTCACATTTACGTTACGAAAACATTCGTTGCTATTTAGATGGATATTAAATACGCAATTCATTCAATTAATTTGGCTCCGAGTTTACATATTGCATAGTGGGCACGGATCTACCTTTTCAGTCAACATTTTATCACATGTCAGTTCATTCACTTACACTGACTGCTTCCAACCATTGGTCGGGGTGACACTGTGGTCAAATTTTTTGCCCTCTTACGATAATTTTTGTACAGAATAAAGAATATCATGCAGAAATGTGCTACAAGTTTTTACGAAAAAAAAATCTTCCTTTAACGAAAAGTCTGAATACTTTCTTGCCGCAACCTGCAGCTTAAAGCAGTCTGCGTTCGCCAAAAACCTTCACAAATTATATTTCCCAAAGCAAAAACAAGGAGTGGGAACCTCTGCGGGCGGTTGCAAAATCCCGATGTTTTTTCAATCCCGGCATCGATTTTTGATCCCGGGATTGAACAATTTTTGTAATATCGATGCGGGACATGTTTAAACACACTTTTTCGAACCAATAGGTTCATTATTAATCAGAAAGGAGCTGAATCAACAAATTATTGAACAAACCCAAGGAACTAAGTATTCAAATTCAAATTAATATTTCATATAATGATGACAATGATCATGCCGCAAGGGCATACTGCATATTATATGCTAAGGCATCTTGTCATCTCAGGTCTAATAACAATACACTTGCATGTGAATATGAAATTCTTCATTCCCGAACACTTATTTGCAATGCTTCAAGTCCATTTTCTCTCAATATTAACGTCAGCTGAATTCTGCCGTTTCGTAAATTTCGATTTTTTACGGGAGAAATGCACCGCATGAATTATATAATTTGAATTTCGAAATAATTAAAAGTTCGAAGTTTATCTAAAAAGGTAAAAAAAATATCCGTATCATCGAACCATCGAGCACTTACATATTTGATAACTGCGATCAAATATCATGCAAATGTACTTGATATTCACTTTGCTCACTTCGGCAATGAATTCTCAC